TGAACTCTGTACGCTGTACATGTGTATATACATGTCTGCATGCAGAGCTTAGACGTTGGAAATAAGAGCTAGGGGCACCTATTTTCAAGGTCAAATCTGATAATTTGAGGGCACCAAGGCATTTGCCTTTAATGTATCTGTAAAGTTTTATCTGTGTTGATGTATAGAAGAGATTTAAATTAAGAATTAAAGTTGCCTGTCCATTGCATTGGTTGGAGTACCTGCGCTAATTGATGATGTACTTGTTCCTAGTGAAATAAATTATGACATACTATTAGTTCCACTTCGGACTCAGTCCGAAAAAGTGGACTTATGGATTGATCTCTGTGCGTGCATGCATACACATCCGTATTCAGCCATATCTCACACATGCCTGGACTGATCAAGTTAAAACTACACGTATACATATATATCAGTCATCATATCGGACAAATGCTTGAGCATTTTTGTCACCATCAAATCCAAAATAGCTGACTTATGACAATCTTGTTTAAATGATGGCAATTCCTCAGAACCATATCTCGTATATTTTGGCCATTATTATAGATATAACCTTGATAGTCATGCTGTATTTCATGCTTGCAATAGAATGTCATTTCAAATGACTTGTTTGAAAAAACATTTTAATTTTTGGCTCATCATTTCATAAGTCTTGTAAACTTATTTGGACATTAGCAACTTAGGTAAGCTAGTGGAAACTTTACATCTTTATTCACCAGTTCACAGGGATAGCCAGGCATTTACCTGTCTCAGTTAAACTCTGCCTGTCTGGGACAGGTGGACAGGTCTTAATTTTGACCACTCTACACATATCTTGCTCAATGAGACTTAATCATATATGATATATAATACAAGCTTTATTTGTCTTACAGCTGAAATAAAACGTATTTTCAGTGAATCGTGGTGTGAATATGCCAAGAACCTTTGTCAAGGCAACATAGATTACATTGTCAGAATGCCTAAGCCTATACAGATATTAATGGCTTCCTATCTGGAGTTGGAAGATGTAGCTTCATTGGCACAGACATGTAAAACCTTCAGGGAGGCAAGTATGCTTCAATTACTTACAATTACTGACGCATTTTAGCCCAAAATCCAAAACAATGTACAATCAAGTTTATTTCTAGAATTTTTGATTGGTATTATAAAGTTCATTAGTACGGCTATATTAGCTTATTGTTTAAAAGCCTAATCTTAATTTTTTAATTAATTTGAAATATCTACCTTACATTTCCCAGCATACAGGAGCTCTTTCTAAGATTTCTCTTTTGTCCCCAGTCATTTCTCTTGAATGCAATTTGGTACAAATGCAAGACATTATGATACACAAACAAGGCAGTTTATTTGGTTTTGATTAAATTTAACCAATCAGCCATTTTCAATCTGACGAAATGTAATCAACAGTTTCGTTACTTATACTCATTGTTTTGATTCATGAATAAATTCAAAATGACTGATTAGTGGTAGATATTTTGTTTTTTTATTTCTCAGACACTCTTTCAACAGATTTTGACATAAAAAGATGACTAGGCTAATTATAATCAAACCCACTATTATGACAGCACATACTGTGTTATTTATTTTCATGCTTCAATTGAATGGGACTGACTGGTAACCATTTTGAATTTTGTTGTCTTGCTTTTCCACATGCTGTTTGTTTGTTTGTTTATAATAAAAGAGACAACTATGTTCTTGAGATTGCTATGAAAATTTTATTATACAAGTTTTACATACCCCAGTGTTTGCAAGATAATCCCTGGTGTGGTAAACAGCCAGTGTAAGTTGTATCCAATCCCCATTCCCCATTGCTATTTGTTATTTACTGGCAGGATACATAACGGTTATAATGCTTCTTGTTTTGTACTCTAGGTTTGTAATTCTGATGCATTATGGGAACGCATCTATGAAGACAACTGTGATACTGTAACAGAGGAAGTCAGATCATTGGCTCAAGATGTGGGATGGAAAGAACTGTTTTTCCTTAATAAACTACAACTACAGGTCAGTTATAAATAATTTACATTATATCAGTTATTAAGCTAGTGATTGGATGCCTTCATATTATTATTATTATTATGATTATTATTATTATTATTATTATTATAGTGATAGTGATCACCTAGGGGGGTTCATTCAATTTGTCAATTTTACATACACCCAAAATCTATGGATATAATTGTACAGATTTGTTCATGTTATGATTTAATGCCAGTAGCCCATATTTCATTATAAATGAACTGAGAGATGTTACCGTATTAATTCAATTTATTTTTATTATAGGTGAAGCTAAGAAGAAAGCGAGGCAAAGGCCAAGTTAGCAAAGGAAATGGAGATACTGTCTTCCTTACATCCAAATAAAAAATGGATTGCCAAACTACTCAATGCAGACACTTATAATGTATTTAAACATTGCATCTTAATATCAACTATGTGAAAGCTGCTACACCAAAAATGCTTAGCCAACACTCATGCAGTGTCGTAAAACCAGATCTATGTTATCTGATATCTAGATTTTTTTCATGTTGTAGTTTTCTCCCATGTTATATATTTCTTGTACAGTTTTTCAATCGTATTTTTCAACATAGTTGTAACCAATTTAGCTCCAAAGATATATATATGAGTTTTTTAGATCTTTCCATCCATGTTTACCATATTGTATAATTCCATCCATTGTTTTACTATAGCTTACATTACATGTGGCGCATATAGATGCCTTTTACATGCTGGGGATCATGCCAAGCTATCGTTTCGATGAAATCACATATCAATCTGTCATCAGAAATGATAATTGCCAAATAATGATTTTAGTTACAAGTACTCTTATCATGCCAGTCTAGGAAGTTTTATAAAGCACTACTGAGTAG